GTTTGGAGTTTGAATTATGAATTTATATCTGCAAGTGAATTTTGTACTTTTTCATGATAGTAATTTTTGTCTTTTCATTTCCAGTTTTACCACCCCCCTAAGCATTTCCTGTAAGGCTGGGCAGGTAGTGATGAATTCCCTTAGCTTTTGCTTGTCTGGGAAGGTCTTTATTTCTATCTTGTTTCTGAAGGATGGCTTTGCTGGATAATTTATTCTTGACTGACAGTTTTTTATTTTCAGGACTTTGAATATATTATCTCATTCTCTCCTGGCCTGAGAGGTTTCCGTTGAGAAATCTGCTGATAGTATAATGGCGATTACCTTATATATGACTTGATGCTTTTTTCTTGCAGCTTTTAGAATTCTTTGTCTTTACTTTAACAGTTTTATTATGATGTGCCTTAGGATCTTATTGGGTTGATTCTAATTGGGGACCTTAGATCTTCCTGAATCTGGATGGCCATCTCTCTCCCAGTACTTGGGAAATTTTCAGCTATTATTTTATTAAATAGGGTTTCTGTACCTTTTTCCATATTTGCTCCCTCTGGAACACCTATTATTCGAATATTTGTTTGCTTAATGGATTCTCATACATCTTGTAGGCTTTTTTCATTCTTGTTTGATTTTCTCCTCTGGGCAATTTCAAAAGATCTGTCTTCAAGTTCAGAAATTCTTTCTTTTGCTTGATGTATTCTATTACTGAAGGTCTCAATTGTATTTTTTATTTCATTAATTAAATTCTTCAGCTCCTATATATATATAAAATATATATATATTTTATATATATTTTATATATATATATATATATAATATAAATAATTATATCTATCTCTTTGTTAAATTTCTCATTCAGATTATGACTTGTTTTCCTGATTTTCTTGAATTGTTTGTCTGTGTCCTCTGGTATCTTGTTGAGTTTTCTTAAGGTCATTATTTGAAATTTTTTTACAGGTATTTCATAACTGTTCTTTTCTTTGGTGTCTGTTATTGGAGACTTATTGTGTTCCTTTGTGACTGCCATGTTTTCTTGCTTTTTCATGTTTCTTATATCCTATGTTGATATCTGCACATCTAATGGCATAGATGCTTTTCCCAGTTTTATGGAGTAGGTTATATAGAAATGACTTTTTCCTGAACGTGGGTCCAAGGATTTCTGTTGGATATTTTGCATTGGTTTTGATTTGGGGTGGACTCAGTAGCATAACCTATGTGTAGTTTTTTTGGTTGTTATCCTCTTTAGTGGTGTCTGCAAATGCCTCAGTTGTCTAGACTGTAGGAGTTTGTGTCAACACTCTCTTTGTTTTGCTGGGTCAGAGATTCTGGGCTGGTTTGGTTAGGTGTGTGCAGCACAGAGGGCCAGCTGGCTATTTGGTAGTCTCTCTAAGGTACAGGGTTGTTGCTTGACCAGCTATCAGGCTAGGTGTGAGCACACAGCTTTGTGGTCATCTCTCCCATGGGGTGGTGTGCCGCCTGACTGGCTTAGAGTCTGGACGCAGGTGTGCCTGGGTGCAGTCTGGGATCAGGTGGTTCTTTGAAGTCCATCATAGGAATGTATACCACTGCCAAGCCAGGAGCTAGTGTGCGCAGGTACAGCAGGGCCATGTGGCCCTATGGAGGCCTGCTGGAGGAGGTGAAAACATTGCCTCATTCACTAGGGAGCAGGAGTGTACTGATGTAGCCGGACCTGGCAGCTCTGTGGATGGCTGTCAAATCAGCTTTCTAGTATGGAGCAGGTCTATGAGAGTGCAGCATGGCCCAGCAGCTCTGTAGAGTCCCACCAGATGGAGGCAGTGCCATCGTCTGCTCCACTGTCAGGTGTGGGGTAGGCATGCAGCAGTGCAGCAGGGCCTGGCAGCTCAGTGGAGGACTGCTGGATCAGCTGTTGAGCCTGGAGCAAGCCTGCAAGGGTGTAGACAGGCCTGACAGCTAAATAGAGGCTTGCCATTGAGAGTCAGATCTGCTGCCTGATTGCTGTCAGTCAGTGAGCAGGCGTGCACTGGTTTAACAGGGCCACACAGCTCTATGGAGGGCCACCGAATCAGCGTTGGGCCTGGAGCAAGCCTGCAAAGGTGCAGCCAGTCCTGGCAGCTCTGTGGAGGCCTGCCAGGGAGACTAAAAGATGCTGCCCGAATGCTGTTGGTCAGGGAGCAGGTGTACACTAGTGCAGCAGGGACTAGCAGTTCTGTGGAGGGCCGTGGGGGGAGGTGGAGCTACTGCTGGACTGGCTGTTGGGCCGGCATGGGCACCTGTGGGCTCAGTGGGCCAGTGGGTTGTGCAAGATGGGTGCATGTGAATATGGTGGAACACTGCTTAATGGCTACTTCCCTGCTGAGTCGGTCTGTCTATTTTCTTGTGAGGATTGGGGGCAGGGATACTGTGTAAGATCAGCATTTGGGGTCTCAGTTTTTCTGTCTGGCCTAGACTCCAGGCAACTGGGGTCATGGTCCTGCCAGAGCTTGTGTGAACATGGTAGAATGAAGATGGGGCCTCAGGATGGAGGGAGTCAGTTTCTACTGGCCCCGATGGCTAAATATACTCTAGCACTGGGTTTGGTTTCAAGAGGGTGCTGTGCTAAGGCAGCTTATTTTGGGAAAGTGAGGGTTGTTCTCTCTGGGCTTATAAAGACCACCAAAAAACTATGTGAACCAATAAACAAATTTAGTAAAGTTGCAGAATACAAAATCAACATGCAAAAATCAGTAGCATTTTTATATGCCAGTGGCAAATTATCTAAAAAAAAAAAAATAAAAATAAAGAAAACACAACAATCCCTTTTACAATAGCTACAAAAAAAATACCTAAGAATAAATTTAACCAAAGAGGTGAAAGATCTCTACAATGAAAACTATAAAACATTGATGAAAGAAATTGAAGAAGACACAAAGAAATCCCGTGTTCTAGGGGTAGAAGTATTAGTATTGTTAATATGTCCATACTACCCAAAGCAATCTACAGAGTCAGTACAATCCCTGTCAAAATACCAGTGATATTCTTCTCAGAAAAGAAAAAAATTCTAAAATTCATAAGGAATCACAAAAGACCCCAAATTGTCAAAATGGTCTTGAGCAAAGAGAATAAAGCTGGAGGCATCACACTACCTGACTTCAAAATATACTACAAAGCAATACTAACCAAATGGCAAGGTACTGGCATACAGACAGACACAATAGAAAACTGAGAAATAAATCCATGCACTTTCAACCAACTGATCTTCAACAAAGGTGCTAAGAACACCTAGTGTTTTCAATAAATGGTGCTGAGAAACTAAATGGCCACGTACAGACACATCAAACTAGACACCTCTCACCGCTTACAAAAAATCAACTCAAAATGGGTCCAAGACTTCAATGTAAGACCCAAAACTATGAGACTACCAGAAGACGACATCAGGGAAATGATTTGTGACATTGGCCTGGCCAAGAATATTTTGAATAAGACCTTAAAAGCACAAGCAACAAAAGCAAATATAGACAAATGGTATTAAAAAAAATTTAAAAGCTATGCACAGCAAAAGAAACAATCAACAGAGTTGAGACAACCTATAGAAAAGGAGAAAATGTTTGCAAACTATGCATCTGACAAGGGGTTAATATCCAGGATATGTAGGGAACTCACACAACTCAATAGCAAAAAACCAAATAATCTGATTAAAAAATGGGCAAAAGATTTGAATTGATATTTTTCAAAAGATGACATGGAAAAGGCCAACAGGTATGTAAAAAAATGTTCAACATCATTAATCATCAGGTAAATGGAAATCAAAACCACAGTAAGGTATCATTTCACTCCAGTTAGAATGGCTGTAATAAAAAAGACAGAAACAAATGCTGACAAGGATGTGGAGAGAGCCAAACTCTTATAAACTGTTGGTGGGAATGTAATTTAATGTGGAAAACAGTATGGAGGTTCCTCAGAGAATTAAGGATAGAACTCTCATATGATCCAGCACAATTCCACTACTGGGTGTATATACAAAGAAAAGGAAATCAACATGTCAGAGAGATATCTGCATACCTATTTTCATTGCAGCACAATTCATAGTAGCCAAGGTATGGAATCAACCTAAGTGTCCATCAACAGATGAATGGGTAAAGAAAATCTGGTATATTTACACAATGGAATACTATTCAGCCGCAAAAAGTAATGAAATCCTATTGTTCGTAGCAACGTGGGTGGAACCAGAGGTCGTTATGTTAAGTGAAATGAGCCAGGCAAAAAAAGACAAACACTGCAAGATCTCACTCATTTGTGGATGAGTTGATCTCATAGAAGTAAAAAAAGGTGATCTCATAGAAGTAAAGGATAGAGTTGTGGTTGCCAGAGACTGAGAGGGATAGCAGGGGATAGCAGGCAGGGGAAGATGAGGAGAGGTTGACCAATGAGTACAAAGTTACAGTTAGATTGGAAGAGTAAGTTCTAGTGTCTCAATTCACAGTGAGGTGACCATGGTTAACAATAATATATTGTATATTTCAAAATAGTAGAAAAAGAGGTTTTTGAAAGTTCTCACCAATAAGAGATGATAAAGGTAATGGATACACAATTACCCAAATTTCACTATTATACACTGGGTACATGTATTGAAATAGCACACTGTACCCCATAAAATGTACAATTATCAAACATGTATCAATTAAAAATTAAAAAAAAAGAAAAATGTACTTTGTATCACTGGACTCTGAGTTGGGAGACTAGAGTTCTCTGAGTTCTGGACTCATTAGTAACTTGCCATATGACTTTCAGCAAGTTACTTTCTCATTAAGGCTTAGTCTCCTCCTCTGGAAAGAGATGTAATAATATATATTACCTTTCTCTGGTGATGATGTGTTTGGACTTTCTAACTAGTTACTAGTTACAAAGTAGTTTATAAACCATATATGCCATATAAATGGAAAATTTTATTGTTAATTTGTTTTTAATTAAGAAAAAAGTATATAGAAACAAATACTATTCTCTATTCTCTCTATTTATTTATTTATTTATTATTTTTACTATTACAGCTATAGAGATGGCAACAAAAACACCAGCTTGAAAACTTGGAGTAAAAATGATTTTAAGCCTCAGTGTAAAAGAACAAACCTAGTGGCAAATGATGGAATAAATTCTTGTACAGTGAGTTTGGGAGCTCAACAACAGAAACAACTAAGAATATCTGGACCTCCTAACTTATCTCACCACAGGGAAACTGTGGTACTCAGAGAAACACAATTATCAAAAATATGTGGCTCCACAATGAGAGGTCTAGACAAAAACAGTGCATTACAGGCATTTAAGCCCAATTTTCAACAAAGTCAATTTAAGAAAAAAATGTTGGATGATATTCCAGAAGAAAACACTTTGAAGGTAAATGTTTAAACATCAGTTAATGAATTACTTACATTTTTTAAAACGTGTGATAAATATTTACAAAGTTACAGAGATAACAGTATTTAAATCAATCCCATGGCATATATTGCTGGATTAACACACATATCCAGCTTTATTGGAGTGGATGAATGTTGGTTTCCAAAATATTTTCTTAGAAGGTGTGAATGGCTGCTCCTTTTCATAGTTGCTTTAGTTTTCTACTGGATTCTGACTTTCACTGTTTACTAATTACTAAGGTAATGACGGTTTATATTCATTGCTTGGAGAAATGATCCAAGCTCTTCACATGTCATTTTAAAGTTTTTTCAGCAGAGGTCAGAAAACGTTTCCTGTAAAGGGCCAGACAGTAAATATTTTTGGCTTTATTAGGCCATACTGTCTCTGTTGCAGCTACTCAGCTATATCACTCAACTCAGCTCTGCCATTGTAGTTTGAAAGCAACCATAAGCAGTACATACGAGGGTACTTCAAATAGTTTGTGGAAAAATAGAATTGAAAGATATGAATCTTTCCGTGAACATTTTGAAGCACCCTTGTAAATGAATGGGCATGACTGTGTTCCACCAAAAGCTTACAAAAACAGATGGTAGGTCAGATTTGGATGCAGGACATAGTTTGTTGACCTGTGCTTAATAATCTGGTCCTGTTTGACCTTTCCAACCTCATACTCCATACTTCACTAATTCTCCAGTGTTCTGGCCATTTTAGACTCTTCAGAATTCTCTAAACATGACATGCACGTTAATATATCTTTGCTTTGGTTTATATTCTTCCCTGTACCTGTATATCAACCTTACTTCTTCTCTACATGCGATGCTCTAATTATTTGTAAATGTCTTCTTTGTAAATGTCTAATACAAATTATTCTTTGTAAATGTCTAATTATTCTTTGTAAATATTGTGTGTACTGGTTCTTCTCTATCTCCCCTTTCTCGCCCCTGGCCCAATAAATTCTTCACCTGCTCTTCTCTGTTCTCTAGAAGGCTGAATTATCCTACGTAATGTATCATCCTACATAATGTATCATCCTGGGATCCCTTACTTGCTGGCTTGTGCTAGAGGTCAGCCCTTGGGAGTCACTGGCAGGACATGAAAGGATGGGAGGAGTGGTTAGGTTTTCCCATTCTCTCCCTGCTAAAACGTTGTATCGCCAGCAGTGGCTGTTGTCCTGAATGACATAGCTCCTCCATGAGTCTGGCTTTCGTGGGCTTGGTAATTTTATTTTCTCCTTTTAGCCTAGGAATGAAAACAGCTTCTTAATATTGTTAATCTTTGGGTGCTTAAGTACTCTGTGTTTGTTTTGCCCATATGTCTGAAAAAACAGTCTTTTCAATAAGCCATCAAGGGAATTCTTTTTTTGTTTTTGCTGGATATATGACTAATATTGCATGTTTCACAGTGTTTCTCAACCTTATGTTTTCTTGTACCTAAGAATGATATGACATATTCATCTTAGTAACAGTGGCTCACTATGGCTGTAACAGGAGGCATATTAGAATCTTGGTTAGGAGGGGGAGGAGGGAGAAAAGTAATCATATTTTGAAAAAAAAAGTCACATCAGATGTTTCTTACAACCCCTGCTCTCACATAGGAAAGTGTCCCCCCACCCTTGAAAATTAATATCTTAACATACTGTATTTTTGTTGATCTTCAAAAATACCAAGCACATTTCCACCTCAAGCCTTTACACTCACCGTTTCCTCTGTCCTCACACAACAACCAGTTTAGAACAATAACCTCTTTCTCTCCTCCTCCGTTTACCCTGTTTTTTAAAATGCATAGAGTATATCAATTCTTGACATTCCATTTTATTTTTTTGATTTTTAAAATTTTAACATTAATATACAATGTAGTTGATTTTCATGTCCCTTTACCAGTTCCTCTTTTCGTTATATTTTTATTTATTTCATGAATCCCCCATTAAACTGAAAATCTGCAAGGGCAGATACCTTGTCTGTTTGATTCACTATTTCTTCCTTAGTAGCTATGTTTGGCACATAGTAGGTACCCAGTAAAACTTTTCAAATGAATAAATGACTGTGTCTGGTTCTTATTCTAGAGTGTGAGCACATTTAGGAAAGTAAGTTTTACTCACCCTTTTGTCACAGGATCTGGCCCATGATGCTTTAAGAATATTCAATGAATGAACAAATGAATGAATATATGAGTGCCCATATAAATAATTCTCTTAATTAATTGTCTTCAAGTGCATCCTGATTTCTCCTTCTATAATGTATTAATGATGGCTTTAATTTAGGGAAGTAACTGTACTAAAATTTTCAGTAGCTCTTTTTACCCATTTGCTGAGAATCTTTACATAGAAGGTGAAAGAGTGCAATGAAGAAATGAAAAATTTTTCTAATGCTATTTTTTCCCCAAAGGAATCCTCATTGTATCAATTACAATTTAAGGAGAAAGATAATTCCTTAAGAATTATTTCTGCAGTTATTGAAAGCATGAAGTATTGGCGTAAACATGCACAGAAAACCATACTTCTTTTTGAAGTACTGGGTAGGTATAACACTTAAAAAATTCTTCAGTAACACTATTTGGACAACAGTTTTTAATGTCAATAGAAATACCTATGGGATCTTGAAGAAAAATAAGGTTTTTCAAAAGGGGTTATAGTTTATTAGGCTTTTTTTTTAGTTCTAGGTCTGATTGATTTGTGTGAATTTAGTATTTGGTTATTTAAGGTAGTCTTCTTCTGATTCATAATATTAAAACTAGAAAGACTAGTACAAGTAAGCTAACCCAACCCCTTGAGGTGGGTGAGGAAGTGGGGCAAATAATTAAAATAGACTTGGCTAAAATCACAAAGCTAGCCAAGCAGCAGAAATGCATCTAGGATTCAAGACTCCTTATTCTCAATCTAGTGTTCTTTATACTATATTACACTAAATCCAGTAGTAATTTTGTATATAAATTAAATCATATTTTAAATACTCTGAAAGAGCATTTGCTAAAAATCTTTTGCTGATATGAGTAAACACCCCACAATTAATCTGTTTTCTAAATTAATATTTAAAAGGAGAAGAGTTTTGTAGGATGTTCCTGGAATTTGATTTTACCTAGAGTTAAGAGATAAACAAGAAGTAGAGATTCAAAACATATTTCATTCCATAGTTTAAATAAAATAAATAATATTTAACTTAAACTTTGAAATAATCCAAACATCCAGAAATATTTGAAGAATATAAATAATCAATATCCATATACCCATGTTATGGATATATTTGAAGCCCCCATTCATTTTGCTCTCTAAAGATAACCATTGTAGTGTCTTTCTTGTCCAGGCTTTTATAATTTTACAATATACATATGATTCCATAAATTTCTATATATTATTGTTTTTTGTATTTTCAAAATACATAGTTTGCATTTTTACCTAGTATTATGTTTTTGAGATTTAGGTGCAGTGATTCATGCAGATCTAGTTACTTTTCATGGCTGTATACTATCTAATTTTAGGAACATATCCTGATTTGTACATTCATATGCTTATTAACATTTAAGTTGTTTTCAATTTTTTGTTTTACAAGCAATACTGTGATAAGTGTCTTAGTTAATGACTTCTTTTATACATGCATAAGTGTTTCTTTAGGATAAGTACCTAGAAGTGGAATTGCTAGTAAGTAGTGGATCTGCATTTTCAATTTTATCACATTTTAGCAGATTGCCTTCCAATGCAGTTTATAGTTCTTTTATCCTCACATTCTCATCAGCTCTCTTGTAAAACTATAATTTTTGCTAATATGTATAATTTTTGCTAGTAATTCAGGTTTTATTCTTTTATTTTTTAGTATGATGCATACTTTAAATGAGGAGAATCTTTCTATCCCTGTCCTTTGTCTATAGGACTGACTTAGAGTGGTAATAAATCATATATCCATGAGTAACAGGGTTGGAAAGGACCTTAAATCACACATTTCATGCTTGAATCTCTCCTACCATATCCCTATGAAATATTTATTTAATTCATGGATGAATACCACAAAAAGTGTGTAATCATAAAAGTGTGCAATTATTGAAGTTTCAGATCTTGCAAACTGTTCTACCTCACATGAGATCTTAGAGAAATCTAATCTATCTTTAATATGACAGCCCTTCAGGTACTGTGCCCTCTATAAGGCTGTTTTCTAGATTAAACATTTTAAGTTATTTCAATTATTCCTTATTAAAACCAAATGACCCGACTTTGCCCATGTATGAGGTCATCCTTTCCTTTAATATGCATATAAAATAAAATAAAATAAAATATCCCACATTAGCTGAAGGAAAGTCAGCCTGTCAATGTTTCTGAAAATTCCATGAAAGTTTCTATTTCTTCAAGTCCATCATTTTTGTTTGTTTTTATTCCCTACTCCGACCTTCTCCTTAATCACCTCTTATTGCCATTTTTCCATGCAATTTTAGGTCAAACTTAATTCCACCCCTAATGTGGATGTGTTTCTCCCTTATTACCCCAAGACAGTGCTAATACAATGTTGACACTGACTTATTAGTGGTTAATACAGTTACACAGAAGGTTTGGTATGTGGGTGATGGGAATGTAGAATTACTTATAGACTAGGAAACATCTTTAAATTGGATTTTAGGCATCACTTGATAAAGTTCATTGACTATTTCTTACTGATTGTTTTTTTATTTAGCCTGTGCCAGGGTCTACTCTTTTGGAATATAATCTCATCCCTATCTCCTTTATTTTCCTCCAGTTTAGTCGGAGGAAATAAAAAAAATCTTAAAACACACACACACATGCACACACACACCTGTCCAAAGAAGATATCTTTGAATTTATTTTGCAGACTGATTTATCTCTTCATTGCCTCAACTTCTACCCCTAACCAGTCCTTTTCCTTCCAAGTAAAATAGTCTTGTTTTTGCTGCTCCCTGAGAATATTCAAAGAACTGTAGTAACTCAGTTTTAATAGTGGTTCATGTGGCAGACAGAGTAATGGCCTCCAAAGATATCTACATCCTAATTCCCAAAACCTGCGTGTTAGAGGAAAAACACACAAGCTGTTTTTCCTCTGCTCTCACAGCACAATCATCAACACAGAATACAGACTTCTGTGACCAAATGTGTGGAGATTTCTCCCCACCAGCAAACATGCAAGCATTTCTCCAGTGGACACCAGCTGGGTGCCCTCTAATTCAATTCCAACATTATCTTCTAGGAGATAGTGTCAGATCCCAGAGGTGGAGAACTCAGTCTCCAAGACCATTCCCCACTTCAGATGCTGGTCACAAGTCTAGGCTTCTGGAACTTCTGACTGATCAGTTATAAATCAGAGTTCCCACGCCCCCCTCCTTCCTCTTTAGGCTAGATTAATTTGCTAGAATGGCTCAAAGAACTCAGAGAAACACTTTTATCAGTTTATTATAAAGGATATTACAAATGATACAAATGAAGAGATGCTTAGGGTGAGTTATGGGGGAAGGGGCGTGGAGCTTCCATACCCTCCCTGTGTGTGCCACCCACCAGGAACCTCCACATGTTAAACTATTCAGAAGGTTTTTGAACTCTGTGCTCTTGGGTTTTTATGGAAACTTCATTACATAGGCTTGATTGAAGTATGGACAACCAACCATGTGATAGGACAAAAAGGGTGTGATCTAACACTAACAGACTGGATGGGGAAACTAAGCATGGCCTGTTTGTTCATATTCTTTTCAGCCTCTCTGTGCAACATTTCTTCCTCTTGGGTTTGGGGTGAGATCCCTTCTGAAATAGGGACCTTATCACCTACAATCAGGCAAATAGATCAGATAATTTTTTTTTGTGGCCAGCCCAAGATAGAAAGGCAGGGAAGTTTAGAACAAACCAGGAACCATGGATGAAAACCAAAATATACATATCATATCACACTATGAATGTTACCTTATATGGCAGAAGGAACTTTGCAGATGTGATTAAGTTAAGGATCTCGGAATGGGCCCACCCTGGAATATCTGGGTTGGCCCAGTGTAATCTCAAGGGTTCTTATAAAGGGGAATCAGGAAGATTAGTGTCAGAGAGAGAGACTGAAAGATGCTACCCTGCTTACTTTGAAGATGGAGGAAGGGACCATGAGCCAAAGAATGCAGGCAGTGTCTATAAGCTGAAAAAGTCAAGCAAATAGATTCTATTGTAGAGCCTCTGAAAGGAACACAGACCTGTTAACCCATTTTAGACTTCTAACCTCCAGAACTGTAAGATAATACTTTTTTGTTGTTTTAAGCGAGCTACTAAGTTTGTGATAATTTGTTACAGCAGCAACTGGAGACTGATATATCCTACTTCTTTGTCTTTTGTCCTGATATATACATACACATACACACATTTATATTTATACTTATTTATATTCATATATTTAAAATTTAATATACATATAAATGTGTGTATATATAGATACAGTGTACTTGTTTCATGTATTTAACTTTCACCTAAAAATTATTCCAGTTTCGCTCTTGGTCATCACTAAGGACAAAGCATGTTATATAAGATGACATTGGATTCTGTGGAGATGCAGACTTTGAGTAAAGTGTGCTGTGTTAGTTTTCTGTTTCTGCATAACAAGTCATCAGAAATGTAATGACTGAAAACAACATCATTTCTTAACTCCAAGTTCTGCAGGTCAGAAGTCTGGGTGGGTTTGACTGGGTTCTATACTCAGGGTATCACAAGACTGACATCAAAGTGTTGGCTGGGCTGTGCTCTTGTCGGAGGCTCTGGGAAATAATCCACTTCCAAACTCACTCAGGTTGTTGGCAGAATCCAGCTCCTTGCAGCTGTAGAACTGAAGACCCTGTTTCCTTTCTGGCTGTGAACTGGGGCCTCTTTCAGCTCCTTAAAGTTACCCACATTCCTTCTCATATGGCCTGTCCATCTTTAATGCCAAAGGGTCCTGCTTTATAATTTCTTTTTTCTTTTCTTTTTTTTATTTTTATTTTTATTTATTTATTTTTTTAAATTTTTATTTTGTCAATATACAATGTATATGATTATTATGGCCCTTCACCGACACCTCCCGCCCTCCTCCCTCTCTCCCCTCCCCCCCAAGAATGTCCTGATTACCTGGGCCCTTGAACGATCACCTCTGGCCCTTGACCTGTATTATATATCCTTGCAACAATTTTCCATAGGCTCTTGTTCCTGTCCTGCTGGGCCTTGTATGTGATAGCTACTTCTCTGCTCCTGAAAGAATACCATTTTTTTTTTTTTTTTGTAATCTGCTGGCTTTTTTCAGTTGACATTTTGTCTTTTTGGAGGTTTCCATGCCTCTGGCATCTGGAAGTCCCTCTACTCTACAGGTCTTCTTCTGCACGTCCTACTAATTTTGCTTGAACCGTATTTCTTAGCTGATTGGGATGGCTATTTCTACTCCATGTTGAAGCTTGACCTAGCTCTTATTTTATTCATCTCTTGCCAGTAGCTATGTAACTGCAGTAGTAGATGGTATTCTATTCCATGTCAGTTTTCTGTCAGAGCTAGAATAATACTGTCACACCTAGAACATCTTTTTTTA